TTGTTCATAGCTTTTTCATACAGATAATTAGATATTAGTTGCGGAGGGTTTTTTTGTTTGTTTGTTTTTTTCACAGTCCTTGTCCTACTAAACAAAAAGACAAAGTGATGGATGCTTTTCTATCTCCTTGAATGTTTTGGTGATTTTTTTAAACATAAATCTGATTAGCTGCCTTCCCTCTCTTACACGCACACGCTCCCACCAGCACCACCTTCCTGTGCTGAGGGCTATCTGACATTTTTGTGAGCTCCCAGCATGGCCATCTCCCAGGGTTTTGAGGCTCTTTCATTCAGAGTATGTGAAGTAGGAGGATACTTACTGACAAAAGCTTTAAGTGCTCTTTGGCATTGCTGTGGAAAAAAAAAAATATAGAAAGAGTGGGAGCAAACAAAACAAATGCAATAAGAAAAAAGAAAGTGCAGCCCACGGTGGGAAGGGGCAGGAAAAAAAGGATTGTGTTTTGTTTGTTGTTTTTTTCCCAGGACTTGGGCTCATTTGTGAGTTGCAATGTCTTAAGTGAGAGCTTGCACCCAGAGGAAGCTGTGCCAGTTCACACAGAACTTGTTTTGAACAAGGATTCAATTTCATTTGCAAATGCTTATTGTCAAGGCAGGGAGTGCCAGCACAGAGGAAAGCACCCCTATCCGACTCCTCCAGCTCCGTAGGTTTAATCACATCTCTCCAATCGCCGAGGGAACTGGAGGTTTAAACAAACATACGTGCACTGGTGTGAAGCTGCGAAGGAAGCATTATGTTTCCGGTTCAGAATATATATTCTTCTCTCCCTTTCTAAGAATTAAACACAAGCTTTTCTCCCTTATTGATTAGTTGCTGAAGTAAAGGAACCCTGCAGCCTTCCCATGCTATCTGTTGACATGGAAAACAAGGAAAATGGCTCTGTCGGTGTAAAAAAGTAAGTGAAACTGGCTTGTGAGTTCTGCTTCTGCAAACAACAGAGGGACTTGGCTTCTATTTTTATACTCTCGCTTATCTACTACAAGACACTGGTGGGGGCTTGTACTTGCCTGGTCTGCACTGGCCACCAGCCTCCCTTCTCCCCCTTACAAAAGTCTTTTTCCATATTCCATGTCTGAGACAGGTGACCCAGACTCCAGACCGTGCAGAAAGGGTTAGTGGGTCAGGCTTTGGAACAGGGACGGTTGAGGATTTCAGCCCTGCATTCTGTGTATGGACACAAAAACACCCAGCAGGCACGCTCTGCCTTCCAAGCCCATAGGCTACAACGGTGGGGGCAGAAAACAGAGTTCAAGTCTTTTAATTTCATTTCTTATTGATTTCCATGTCTTTTTAAAATAAAATTACCTCTCTCAAAACTGAGAGCTGTAATGAGGGAAGGACAAAAGCTTCAGCGAGAATACTAAGTTTTAACAACTCTCCTGTCCTAATTTTATGAACTTTTCTTTCCGTGGTTAAGATTTCAGTGTATACCGTAGCATTCTATTTTAAGGTCTGTTCTCACATTTGAAACTTTGATTATATTTGCTGTGAGTTATATGCTTTTTAAAAAAAATAGGAAAATTCAGTTGCATTGTGTAGCATATTCTGAAACAAAACAAAAATGAGCTCACAAAGATATCTGTGAGTATATGAAAAAAATGTATATTCTCACTTAGGAGTTATAGTAAAGCTATAACCACTTTGATTACAAGGATAAAGTAAGTTCCAATCCAGTGTTATTTGTTTCATTTCTTTCCGTGTCATTTAGTTTAAAATTGCCTTCATCTTGAGCTTTGGGGGGAACTAATTAAATGTAATCTATAGAAGCTGTACTATCTAAATGAGGAAACACTGTGCTTTATGTGTTTATGAATGCAGGTATAGTGTTCACTAAAGTGACATTAAACTTAATAAAAACACTTTTTAAAATTCCCAGGTAATTCATTTATCAGTGTCCTGCTGACATGCTTATTCCCATTCTTGAAGTTTGGGGTAGGTAGATGTAGGGGGAATGAAAGGAACAGGTGCTTTTATATGTATGCGTTAGATCAGTGCTGTCCAATAGTACTTTGAGCATTGATGGCAAAGTTCTGTTCTGTGAAGGCCATAATGGTAGCCACTAGCCTCATGTGGCTATTAAAAACTTGAACTGTTACTAGGGTAACTGATGAATTGAACTTTTAATTTTATTCCATTTTAATCAATTTAAAAAGTTAGCTGCTTTATTGAAATAGAATTGACATGTAATACATTATAAATCTTTAAAGTACAAGATTTGATAGGTGTTGACATTTGCATACACTCATGAAACCATTACAATTAAGATAATGAATGTACCCGTCACCCCCAAAGTTTTCTCATGACGCTTTGTATTCTATACCCCAAACCCCACCATCCTTTCCTGCTCAGTATCCTCAGGCAAGCACTGATATGTTGCTATAGCTGACTTTACTTTTTCTACAATTTTGTGCAAATGAAATTTTTCAGAATGTACTTTTTTTCAGCGAGGGGGGAGGACGGGGTCTAGTTTCTTTCACCCAGGATGATTAATTTGCGATTCATTCATGTTATAGTGTGTACCAATAGTTCATTACTTTTTATTGCTGGTAATATTTCATTGTATAAATATATAATTATTTGTTCACTGTTTATCCTTCCACTTGTTGGTAGACATTTGGGTTTTTTCCATTTTTTAGGTATTAGAAATAAAGTTAATCAGACCATTTGTGAACAGGTCTATATGTGGACATATGCTTTATTTCTCTTGGATAAATATTTAGAAATGGAATGGCTGGGCTGTATCGTAGGTGTATGTTTAACATTTTAAGAAACTGCCAAACTTATTTTCCAAACCAGTTGTGCTATTTTATGTTCCCACCAGCAGCATGTGAGCATTCCAGTCTATATCCTCACAAACGTGATTAGAAAATATTTTCTTGTGTGTGATTTTTATTTTCATTCTCTCTTTAGTGTCTTTCAAAGTGCAGAAGATTTTCATTTGGATAAAGTCCAGTTTATCAAGTTTTTACATTATAGATAGTGTTTTTAGTGTCATATCTAAGAAGTGCTTACCTAACCCAAGGTCAGGAAGATTTTCTCTTATGATTTCTTAGACTGAGGACTATGATGTTTTAGTTAATTTTTGTGTATGGTGTGAGATAGGAATAAAAGTATTTCTGTTGATGGTGGTGGTTGTTTTTTTGCCTGTGGATATCCCATTGTTCCACCATTTGTTAAATTGTTTCTGCAATTTTGTTGAAAAATTAATTGATTATATATGTGTGGATCTATTTCTGGACGCTATTTTATAGTCTATTGATGATTTTGTAGATATTCATGCCAATACAACACTATTTTGATAACTATAGCTTTATAATAAGTCTCAAAATCAATTTTTGTTATCTACCCAACTTTATTCTTTTTCAAACTTGTTTTGGCTCCTCTAGGTCCTTCACATTTTCATATGAACTTTAGAATCAGCTTGTCGATTTCTATTTAAAAAACACCTACTGGTTATTTGATTGGCATTGCATTGAATTATAGATCAAATGAGGGAGAATTGAAATCTTAACAATATTCTGTTTCCCAACCCATTTTTCTCTATTTATTTAGGTCTTCTTTAATTTTCTCAGCTATATTTTGCTGTTTTCAATGTGCAAGTTTTGCTCACCTCTTCTCATATATTTCC